GCCAGACAGACAGAGAGAGACATAGAGACAGAAAGCGAGAAATCACCCCCCAGGGGGGATGGTCACACCGCAATCCCTTCTCCTCCATTCTCCTCTCGGGATCTTGGGCACGCACGCACACGCACCTGGTGTGAGTTTTAAGCCAACGGGTCCGGGACACGAACCACGGTCGACTACGTGGTAGTCCAGCGACATAGCCATTACGCTAACTGCTGGTTCCCTCCATCCTTTTTCTTTTATGTCACTCTCTAACTTCTTCACTTACCCTGGCTGAAAGACAGAAATGAGAAAAGCAGAGAATGGCCCAGATCTGGAAAACTGGGCTTGAATGGAGCACAAAGGGTTTGACATGATTTTCCTCTTGCCTTTGATCACACCCTCCTGTGGTGGCTGCAGTGTATACCTGTTAGGCCATGACTGACACCTCCCACCTTGATTATAAGCATTTAGTGAGGGTGGATTTCCCATTTCTACTTTGCTGGTGTCTTTGTGAAAGGAAGTCCACCTAGGAGTACGTCTACATTTGTCTGTATCCACAATCCCTGCATTCATTTATCCCTGTTGTTCTGTGATCAGTAAGAAGTCAGTGGGGGTTTACCATGCTACAGAGGATTAACTTTGTGTGTGTACATTTTCTGTTTGGAAACAGCTTACTGCAAAGTGGGCCTGGGCATCTGCTATGACATCCGCTTTGCAGAGCTGGCACAGATCTATGCACAGAGAGGTAAGGTCGCGCGAGAGCTGGGATTCGTAGGTGTTTGGGGGTTTGGTTCTGGGTTGGTCTTTGCAAGATGGAGGGAGTCCTTAGTCAAAAAAGCTGAGGGCAGGGCTGGATGGTGGTGCAGCAGTAAAACGTGACGCTCTGCAAAGCTGATCTGTGTGGGCAGGTTCACATCTGAGACCTCAGGCACACTTGCACCATGATCTGGGGCTAGCTGAGACTGGGAGTGGAGCATGACATAAAGACCTGTGAAAGGTTCTCTCTCTCCGCCCGCCCCCCTCCTTCTCTCTCTTTCTTTCTCTGCCTTTCTTGTTCATGGAAGAAATAAGTGAATAAAACTTAAAAACAAAACAAAAAAACCAGACAAACCTGGGAAGAGTCTTAATCTAGCTCCACCTCTGGCCTCTCCACTCCCATCTGGTTTCTCAGACTTTTGCTGGGTATTGATGACAGGGTGTTCTGGAGGTTGGAACTGAATGTACCATACAGCTAAGGCAATAGCCATGCTCCTAAATGTCTGCTGTACCCCTTGAGCTCTTCCTGTCATCGTGTTTGCAAAGAATCACTTGTAGCCCAGTAGAAATGAGGAAATGGCCTACGTGCTTGTAGATTTCATCACTCTGTACGCAGTGAAAACGTTCTCAGTGACAGTTTGGCTCAGACAAGAGAAGGCACTAGTGTCCAACGAGTACCGAGCCAGGTCAGAAGATCTGTGTTCTGGTTCCAACATCCCCCTTAATTGGCACAATACTTTGGGTAAATCATTTAACTTAAAGAACAGTGTGGTTTTTGGTTTCTTCATAGGAATGGTATGAGGATTAGGGAGAGAGATTTTATAAAGCCCCTCATGTGATACTCAGTATCAGCTTCCTTAATTAGACTGCTAAAGCTCTGTCTAGTTCAGCTGTCGCTTGAACTAAAGTGGTTGAAAATAGTTTGTTCAGCAACAGGTGGCACTGCATGAGCTCTACGATCAAATCTTAGAGGGTGCATACACTTGCCTGAGAGAGACAGAGAGACAGAGAGAGAACTAGAAAACACCCCCACCCATGGAGCAAGGTCATGCCACAATCCTTTCTCCTCCATTTGGGATTTTGGGCACATATGCTTATACACACACACAGAAGTGCCTGGCATGCTTTTTAGGCCTCAAGTCTGGAACTCAAACCACGCAGTCAGTCATGTGGGATCGAACTCACATAACCACCAGGTCGCAGGCTGGCCCAAGTCCTCTCAGTAAGCCTTAGAGCACTAGCATGCCCCTAATCTCGCTCTCTTTTTTTCAATTTGCCAGAGGGTACATGTGCTCACCAGAGACAGGGAGAGGGAGCAAGCCCCTCCCATGGGGATTGTTCATATCACAGTCTTCCTCCATTTCTCCCTCTTTTTGGGATTCTATACACATGCCCAGTGTGTTTTCAAGCCACAGGGTCCAGGACTCAAACTATATGGTGAGCAACGTGGGATCTTCCTTCCCTAACTACCAAGGTACAAGACTGGCCCTCTCTCTTTTTTACTTTAATAGTTTTGTATTAATATTTCATTGTACATATTTCTGGGGTTTTGTAATGCAATTTTCCAGTATAAAGATAGAATAGGGAGATATTAAATAAGGATAATTAGCATATCCATTACCTCAAATTGTCACTACTTTGTGCTAAACACATTCAAAATCCTCTTTTTTAAGTTACTCTGAGGTACATAGTAAGTTTTTCTTAACTGGATTCTCGCTACTGTATTGTATAACACTAGATATTGTTCCTCCGATCTATCTGTAATTTTGATTCCATCCAACATCCCTTTGCTCCCTCCCCTCCCCTCCCCTGCTACAACCCCCCGAGCCTCCAGGAATCACTCTTTTTTTTCTCTCTCTCTCTTTTTTTTTTTTTTTTGAGAGGTTTTTAGCTATAGGGCACGTGCGCTCGCCAGACAGACAGAGAGAGACATAGAGACAGAAAGCGAGAAATCACCCCCCAGGGGGGATGGTCACGCCTCAATCCCTTCTCCTCCATTCTCCTCTCGGGATCTTGGGCACACACGCACACGTGCCCGGCGTGAGTTTTAAGCCACTGGGTCTGGGACGCGAACCGCCGTGGACTACGTGGGAGTCCAGCGACATAGCCATTACACTAACTACTGGTTCCCCAGGAATCACTCTTTATCTGTCTCCTTCTATGAGGCCATTCCCTCCTCCCACACACAATGTCAATGTCAATGTCAATTCATATCCAATGTCCTAGCACACAAGCAAGCATAACAGGGTGAAAAGCAGGGAGATATGAGGCCGCTTCAGGCCAGGACCTGTCAGGACCTGCACTGGCACCATGAAGGTACCATTTTTTTTTCCAGTTTCCTCATATGAGGGAGAACACATGGTATTATATTTGTCCTTCCATGCCTCATGTACTTAACATCCTCCACTCACTCGGTAACCTCAAATGACAGGCAGGGTTTCATTCTTCTTATTCTGTCCTTAGGGACCAGCGGGTGGCGTGGTGGTTGCGTTGCTGGATTCCCATGTAATTGACTGCTGTTTGAATCCTGGACCTGGCACCTTAAAACTCACTCTGGGCGCATGTGCATGCATGCCCAAGATCCTGAGGGGAGAATAGAGGAGAAGGGATTGTGGCGTGGCCATCCCTTCTGGGGCGGTGATTTTTTGCTTTCTATCTCTGTCTCTCCAGCAAGCGTACATACCCTATAGCCAAAATATCTTTAAAAAAATTTCTGTCACAATTTCAGTTGCACAGACTTACAGAACATGGTCCTTGGCCATGAGGACCTGACCCTATGGTGCTGAAAAAAATTCAAGTAAGAGTTCTCCACGTTTTCAAGTGACAGCCCATGTTGAGTGCCAGTCATTAGGACCGCTTTTCTCGTGTGTCTGTCTGTGTTTTATGAGCGTCTCTAAAGAAAACCAGAGCCCTATCTTGATGCTGCTGACACTGTCCAATTTGACTGACATCTTTTTATGTTAGGGGAAGTTTCAGCATGGCCCCTGCTAGGTGAGGAATGGGGGAACTACTGGGGGTTCACCTGCACCCACTGTTCTTCACCATCTCCTCCCCAAGGCTGCCAGCTGTTGGTATATCCTGGAGCTTTCAATTTGACCACTGGACCAGCCCACTGGGAGTTGCTGCAGCGTGGCCGGTAAGAAAGGAGCCTTACATCCCAGCATCTCAGCATTTCCTTTGTGGGATGAGTGGTTTCTGCTCTGATGGAAGTGCCAGCTTTCCTGGAAGAGAGTTCTGCCCTGACTCAGAGCCTCCTCCAAATGCAGTGAAAAGGAAGAGTCCCTCAGAGGCTTCTCCTGCGGGCACCTTCTCAGAAGCCACAGCACCAGACTCATGGGCTGGGGACTGTGCTCTTGCATTTCTAAGCCTCAGTGTGTACAGTGGGCAGTGGTTTCACTCTCTGTGATTAGTATGGATTGGTTGCTCAAGGCATTGCTAGCAACTCTCACAGAGGAACTGATCTCGTGGCTCATGTACTCAGGGCTCCTGAAGCCAAGGAGAAGGCAGGAGTTGTTTTAGCCTCACAGCCCTGGGGAGAGGCTTGTGGCCTACGCACTGCTCACTCTGTGCTGTTCAGAGGAGGGCACTTCTCCTGCTCGGCTCTAGACCATCCACCTAGTCCTGGGACACTGCCAAGGCACGTGGCCTACATTGTTGGCCTAACCTGGAAATTCAGGACGTCAGTGTCTCTGGTATGACACACTTGTTTCCCAGTCCCCTAAGGCTGAGGGCTGGTGAAAGGCAAACAGCAGAGATGGAGGGAACAGGAGTGTGACTCTGTGTGCACATGTGTGCAAAGCACTCCATAAACCATGAGGGTCTGGTCAGAGAGGATGGTTTTCTTCTTTACAATATTTTAAAATTGAGGCATAATACACTTACAGGAAAGTACACTAATTTTAAGCATACAGATTTGTGAATTTTTATATATGTATTCATCTTTTTTTTTTTTTTTTTTGAGAGAGATTTTTGCTATAGGGCGCATGCATTCACTGGAGAGACAGAGAAAGACAGCAAGAAATCAGCCTCCAGGCCACGCTGCAATCCCTTCTCTTCCACTCTCCTTTTGGAATTTTGGGCATGCATGCACATGCGCCTGGCATGAGTTTTATGCTGCCTATCTGGGAGGGACTCAAACCACGACTAACTACATGGGAGTCCAGCAACATAACCATTACGTGTCTGCTGGTCCTGAGATGATGATAATTTTCAATGGAAAAGAAAGAGGTTTGGCTTATTGCAGAGCAAAAGATGGGACAGGGGTATTTGATGCCACAAACTTTGTTTTGTTTTTATTTTGAATGTGTGTTGGGCATGTGTGCTCACTGGAGACAGACAGAGTGAGAGAGAGAGGTCAGGGAGAAGGTGAGAAAGCACACACCAGGGGAACGGCCACATCACAGTCCCTGCTCCACCATTCTCCTCTTGGGATTTTGGGCATGCACGCACATGCGCCCGATGTGTTTTAAGTTGCTGGGTCCAGGACTCCAACTGCACAGTTGGCCATATATGGGGTCTATCCACCTTAACCTCCATGCCACCTCTCCTGTTTTGTCTAATTTGAGATGGTAGGACTGGCATGAAAGCACTGTGCGACCCTGCCAGGTCTACTACCTGAGCAGGCCACTCCATTCTCTCTGGCCACCATGGCTTACTTGAACCAGAGAAGCTCTGTCCTTTTGTGTGTTACAGGTCAGCGGAGGTCAGGGTGTCTGAACAGCGGCACTGTTGACATTTTGGACTGGAGAATGTTTTGTTGTGGGGCTGTCCTGTTTGATGTAGGAAGTTCAGCAGTGTCCCTGGCTTCTACTGCCAACTAGATGCCAATAGCAACTCCCTAGCTGTGACCGTCAAGAAGACCACTCTCTAAGAATTGGCAAATCTGGCTTTTCTCTGCAGAATCACCATGGCTGGGTACATATGTACACATACCCTAAAAATGGGAGGGCCTCAAGGCCCTCACTGCTGCTCAGTACAGTAGGGGCTTAGGTCCGCGTGCTCTCCACACTACTCCACTTCCACTTTGGCCAAACCAACCACACCCACCCCTGAATTATTCACAAGTTTTCTGTCAAGGTTCCAGTATTTGAGGGTGACAGTGGATTCTATGTGCTTGAGAGCAATGCCATGGCCAACTATATGAGCAGTGAGGAGCTGCGGGGAAGTACTCTAGCCCAGGAGGTGCGGAGGGGGAGCTTTGCTGATACTGGGTCCCCAGCCAGTACCTGGGTGTTTCCCACCTTGGGCATCATGCACTGCAACACACAGGCCACAGAGAATGCAAGGGAAGAGGTGAGGTGAATTCTGGGGTTGCTGGATGCTCACTTAAAGATGAGGACTTTCCTGGTGGGTGAACGAGTGACCCTGGCCGACATCTCGGTCGTCTGCACCCTGTTGAGGCTCTGTAAACAGGTTTTGGAGCCTACTCTCCACCAGGCTTCCCCAGCTGGAACTGCTGGCTCCAGTTCAGAGCCATCTTGGGGGAGGTGAAACTGTGAGAAGATGGCCCAGTTTAATACTAAGAAGTTTGCAGGGAGCCAGCCTAAAAAGGATACTCCATAGAAAGAGAAGGGTTCTCAGGAAGAGAAGCAGAAGCCCCAGGCTGAGCGGAAAGAGGACAAAGGGCTGCTGCCCCGGCTCGTTAGGAAGAGATGGATGATCACGAGCAGGCACTTGCTGCCCAGCCCAAGGCCAAGGACCCCTTTGCTCATCTGCCCAAGAGTACCTTAATGTTGGATGAATTTAAGCACAAGTTCTCCAGTGAGAACAGATCCTCCATGGCGCTGCCATATTTTTAGGAACACTTCAATAAGGATGGCGGATCCCTGTCGTAATCTGAGTACCATCTTCCTGAAGAGCTCACCTAGACTTTCATGAATTGCAACCTCACCATTGGAATGTTCCAGCAATTGGACAAGCTGAGGAAGAATGCCTTTGCCAGTGTCATTCCCTTTGGAACCAACAATGGCCAAACCAACCACACCCACCCCTGAATTATTCACAAGTTTTCTGTCAAGGTTCCAGTATTTGAGGGTGACAGTGGATTCTATGTGCTTGAGAGCAATGCCATGGCCAACTATATGAGCAGTGAGGAGCTGCGGGGAAGTACTCTAGCCCAGGAGGTGCGGAGGGGGAGCTTTGCTGATACTGGGTCCCCAGCCAGTACCTGGGTGTTTCCCACCTTGGGCATCATGCACTGCAACACACAGGCCACAGAGAATGCAAGGGAAGAGGTGAGGTGAATTCTGGGGTTGCTGGATGCTCACTTAAAGATGAGGACTTTCCTGGTGGGTGAACGAGTGACCCTGGCCGACATCTCGGTCGTCTGCACCCTGTTGAGGCTCTGTAAACAGGTTTTGGAGCCTACTCTCCACCAGGCTTCCCCAGCTGGAACTGCTGGCTCCAGTTCAGAGCCATCTTGGGGGAGGTGAAACTGTGAGAAGATGGCCCAGTTTAATACTAAGAAGTTTGCAGGGAGCCAGCCTAAAAAGGATACTCCATAGAAAGAGAAGGGTTCTCAGGAAGAGAAGCAGAAGCCCCAGGCTGAGCGGAAAGAGGACAAAGGGCTGCTGCCCCGGCTCGTTAGGAAGAGATGGATGATCACGAGCAGGCACTTGCTGCCCAGCCCAAGGCCAAGGACCCCTTTGCTCATCTGCCCAAGAGTACCTTAATGTTGGATGAATTTAAGCACAAGTTCTCCAGTGAGAACAGATCCTCCATGGCGCTGCCATATTTTTAGGAACACTTCAATAAGGATGGCGGATCCCTGTCGTAATCTGAGTACCATCTTCCTGAAGAGCTCACCTAGACTTTCATGAATTGCAACCTCACCATTGGAATGTTCCAGCAATTGGACAAGCTGAGGAAGAATGCCTTTGCCAGTGTCATTCCCTTTGGAACCAACAATAGCAGTTCCATTTCTGGAGTCTTGGTCTTTCAAGGCCAAGAGCTTGCCTTTCTGCTGAGTCCAGATTGGCAGGTGGTCTGTGAGTCATACACGTGGTGGAAACTGGACCCTGACAGCGAGGAGAACTGGACGCTGGTTGGAGAGTACTTTTCCTGAGAGAGGGCCTTCCAGTATGTGGGCAAAGCCTTCAATCAGGGCAGATCTTCAAGGAACGCCTCGCCATCACCTAGCTGCCTGCAACTGCCCTTCAGGAAGGATGAGGGTCTTTAAAGGAAACAGAACATTGGGAGAAAAAAAAAGAATTGAAAATCTGGTGGGAAGAATGTTCCTGGTTGAGAACCATTGGCTCATGTGATGAATTACATTTTGAAGAGAGAGTTCCATGCCTTTGGCTTTCTTCCACATCTGAGTCAGCCTGTACTACTGTACTACCTTTTTTTTTTTTTTTTTTAAAAAGGACCTGTATACTTTTTTTTTTTTTCTTTTTTTTTTTTTTTTTTTTTTTTTTTTTTTTTTGAGAGGTTTTTGCTATAGGGCGCATGCGCTCGCCAGACAGAGAGAGACATAGAGACAGAAAGTGAGAAATCACCACCCAGAGGGGATGGTCACGCCACAATCCCTTCTCCTCCATTCTCCTCTCGGGATCTTGGGCACACATGCACACGTGCCCGGCGTGAGTTCTAAACCACCAGGTCCGGGACGCGAACCGCGGTCGACTACGTGGGAATCCAGCGACATAGCCATTACGCTAACTGCTGGTTCCCGAGGACCTGTATACTTGGGGTAGACAAACACTGCAGGGTTGTGATGTTTGATTTGCCTTTTTTCTGACCACTGACACAGGGCTGTGGATAATCAGCTGTATGTGGCCACGGCCTCTCCTGCCCGGGACGACAATGCTTCCTACGTTGCCTGGGGACACAGCACCATCGTGAATCCTTGGTGAGTGTGGCTAAGTGAGGACAGGCCGGGGGAGCTGGAGGGACAGCATGTGGGCAGGTGGGTGTCTGGTTCCTGACCAGCCCGCCCCACCATCCACTCCCCTAACCCCTTCCTAGCCTGCCAGGTTCTTCCTTCTCTCTGCGACAGAAGTGTCTGCTTGAAAGCCAAATGAAGAAGACATGTCACGCCCCTGATTGAGTGGTTGACCTTAGCCCTCTGCTGTGTGTCTGGATGACTCCTGTCAGTGAGTCATGGGTCGCATAGCTCCAGGAAACAGACAGGTGGTTTTAGTAAAAGAGGCTCCCAGACTGTTAGTATTTGGTTAACGTTTAGTCTGGGTGCCTGGCCACAGGGCAGGAATGAGCGAGGGGAGGACTTTGCTCCCATATAATGATTAGAGGAGGGGAGAGGATGGGTTCAGTGGGAAACCCGATCCCAACCCAAGGGAAGGGCACTAAGCGAGAAATCACCCCGAGGGGAGATGGCCACACCACAACCACTTTCCCTCCATTCTTCCCTCGGGATCGGGGCTATGCACACACCTGGCGTGAGTTTTAAGTCTCCAGGTCCGAGACTCAGACCACGGTTGACTACATGGGGGTCCAGTGACGTAGCCATTACACTATCTGCTGGGCCCGAGAGAAGACATTTTCTTCATCAGTGAAACAGCCTGTGAGTTGGCCTCAACACACACTAGGCAGATGTCAGTCTGACACCTCAGGGTCTGTGTTTGTGCGGTTGACTTGGTGTGTTCACACGTGTGATCTCTGTTAGCCCTTGCGTTTGTACAGCTGACTTCACATGTTCACACGCATGATCTCTGTTAGCCCTTGGGACTCACCCTTAGGGAGCCCGGTTCCTAGATGACAGAATTGCAGTCCACAGGGTTCTTGTGGCTAGCACTGGTGTTTGGATCTAGGACTTTGCCTTAGAATGCAGATTTATGCAGCACTTCTCTGTGAACACACATACCTACACACGCATCACACGCCCGTGTGTTTCACTATTCTGGGTCAATATCCCGGTGGCAAGACTGAGAAGGGTTTACTGTCACCACAGGGTCCCTAAAGGTTCTGTCTGCTGCCTGACTTTTTAAGATCCACAGCTCAGTGCATGTGGTGGGGAAAGACCTAGAAGGGGGACTCAAGACAGATTCTCAGTGATCCTCCTGCACATGAGGGTTAGGCACTAGATTTGGAAGGGCTGAGTTGGCCTAAAATTTTTCTTAAACTGGCTTCAAGTTCTGTCCATCGTTAGAGACAGGCTCCTGGTCTCTGCCTCTCGGACAACTCTAGCCCCAGCTGGGTCTCCTGGGGGATTATCACTGATTCATTCACTGGTCCTGACATGAACTAGCTGTATAGGGTTTCTCTTTATTTCTTTCCTCTGCAGGGTATGTGGGCCCTCTGGCTCAGGTCGACCTTGGGGTGGGTCCCTGGGATTAACAGAGTTTTTTTTTTTTTTTTTTTGGAGAGATTTTTGCTATAGGGCGCGTGCGCTCGCTAGACAGAGAGAGACATAGAGACAGAAAGCGAGAAATCACCCCCCAGGGGGGATGGTCACGCCGCAATCCCTTCTCCATTCTCCTCTCGGGATCTTGGGCACGCACGCACACACACCCAGCGTGAGTTTTAAGCCACCGGGTCCGGGATGCGAACCACGGTCGACTACGTGGGAGTCCAGCGACATAGCCATTACGCTAACTGCTGGTTCCCCAGAGAGAGAAATTTTTGACTATCAGGGAAGGTGGGAAAGAAATAGAGAAGAACAAAAAACAGTTCAGTTAAATGCATTAATGGTGGTGCTGGTAGCTCATTTGTGCCAAAATCTGCTTCGGGCTATCTGATAAATGGGCCCATTATTTGTGTCAGATAATGTGTTATGTAGAAAACGTTGAGAGCTTTCATTTCCCTAGATATGCTTTTGAACCCTTACTCTGGGCCTAGAGACTAAGAGATGGTTTTCAGACCAGCCTTCCCCTGTTCTATGATGGAGTGTTGCTATTCCCTAGTGTGGAGCTCCTGCCAGTGGGTGGTTCCATTATTTCTACCCAGGCCTCAGAGGTTGAAGTATTTTCCTCACATCTGAAACTGAAACCCAATAACACAGGGGTCCAGGGACCACAAGTACCAGGGTAGAGATCCCTGTGAGATCCCTGGATCACTGTGGGCCCAGGCCCAGCCTCACCACTTTCGGGGATGTAGGAGCCAGGCAGGTGTGAAGAGCAGATGCTCACTTCCCTTGGCAGGGTTCTCACTGAAATGTACTCATGGGGGACAGCGTGGAGCTGCTTGCTGGCCATGCATAGCTCAGTCCCCAGATGTTTATCGTCACAATATTGCTCCCAGTTCCTCGCAGTTGATGACACATTCTCTGTAGTTCTCTCACTCAGCCCGCCCAGAGCTCCTATGTCCTACAGACTAGAAAAGGGAGACTCCAAGGAACTTGCCACAAGGTCACACAGCTACCAAAATGGTAGGCCAAAAATGTATACCCCTACCTTCTCAAGTTAAGTCTCAGATTATTCTCCCTCTAGCCTGCGAAATGGGGAAGGAAAACAGATCTTGAACAGATCAGCGAAACACTTACTCTCCCCTGCATCTTTTTCAGGGGAGAGGTCCTGGCAAAAGCTGGCACTGAAGAAACGATCGTGTACTCGGACATAGGTAAGAGGTGCCCGGCCCAGGTTAGGTCTCTGCTGTCGCCATTGCTGAGGCCAGGTCCCATAGCTGTGAAGCCCCTGGTGCCGGGGAGAGCTCCTTTATCACCTCCTCCTCTTTCTTTGAGGAAGTTCTAGGACCTGGTTCTCTGGCCAAGCCCTGCAAGCTATAGCTTACTTGAGCTTTCAGGGTTTGATCAGCAGTGACTTTTGGGCTGATGCCAGGCCATCTTTGCCTCTGGACAAGGCCTGTACTGAGTTTCTTGATGAATTTGGGATTATTTGAACCATTTAGGTACGAATTTCCCTTGGTTAGTGAGGACCCACAAGTTATTAAGTGTCCTCTCCTGTTTTTGCAGACCTGAAGAAGTTGGCTGAAATACGCCAGCAAATCCCCATTCTTAGACAGAAGAGATCAGACCTGTATGCAGTGGAGACCAAAAAGCCCTAAGGTTTATGTTTCCTGTCATGAAACAAGAAGATGTGATTCTTAACATAATCAACTCCCTGTTGAATTCTCGAATGGGGTGTTTTGTTTTGTTTTGTTTTTAATTCAGCCTTTTCTTCTCAGGGAACTGTGTTGGGATGGTAGAGCATCATCAGCACACTGACATTCTCTTCACAGTGAACAGTCAGAAGGGCCCAGCCGAGGTGGCGTGTGCTGGACACTTCACAGTGAACAGTCAGAAGGGCCCAGCCGTGCTGGACGCTGCTGCCTGGCCGGCTGTGGCCACATGGAGGCCTGGATTGGATTCCCAGTCCATCCTACAGAGCCAGGTGCAGGGGGACTATAACCTGTGCTTCCAGGTACTCAGGAGGCTAAAGCTGGACGATCACGACATCCTGATAGTTGTTCCAGCATTAATTAAAAAGGCTATCTTATCCCCCATTAAATTGCCTTATAAAGTTATCTTATCAAAAAGGAATTGGGGGCCCAGCAGGTGGCATGGTGGGTGAAGACGCTGGACTCTGACATGGCTGACCATGGCTGGAGTCCCAGACCTGGCGGCTTGCTTTCTCACTTTCTCTCTCTTTCTTGCTCTTACTCTGTACCTTTCTGATAAAATTAAAAATGAATAAATAAATAAAGTTAAAAAGAAATTTTTTTTTTTTTAAAAAAAGGAATTGGCCATATATGAGGTGACTTTAAAAGTTTATGGAAAAGTGGAATTAAAGAAGGGTTTATTTTAGTGAAAAAGAAGAATTGTGTGGATAAGGTAGCTGAGTCCTATGTAGCTGACTGAGTAGTTCACATCCTGGAGCCAGTAACATGTAAAACATGCTGGGTTGGGGCCATTGGGTGGTGTGGTGGTTAAGGTGCTGGACACTCCCACATGGCTGACTGTGGTTCGAGTCTTGGACCTGACAGCTTGCTTTCTCACTTTTCCTCTCTATGTCTCTCTCTGGTGAATTAAATAATAATAAGGATAATAAATAACATTAAATAAACAATTATTTTAAAAAAGAACATGCTGGGTACACGTGCCCCTTGTAAATAAAAAAACAGGAAAAACAAATACTTCCAACTTCACAGATCCTTTTAATTTAAAAGATGCCACGTAGTGCCAGCAGGGGGCATGGTGGTTAAGGGGGTTGAGGCTGGATTCCCACGTGGCCAATTGCACAGTTCAAGCCCTGGACCTGGCAGCTTGAAAATCACGTTCAGCACGTGTGCATGCATGCCCAAAATCCTGAGAGGAGAATGGAGAAAGGGTTGCAGCATAGCCATCCCCCTGGGGGTGATTTCTTACTTTCCTTCTCTGGTGAGCAAACACGCCTATGGCAAAACCTTTTTCAAAAACATGACAGGTGGCCCTTGACTGCACTTTGAGAATAGCTGCTGTGTCCTAGTAGCCTGTCGAATAAACTCTCATTTAGTGTGAAACCATTTTTGTTGAATTAAAAACCTCTCACGGTAAAGCCCCCATCTCTCTGGAAGGAGGAGGAAAGAATGACCTGGTTGTGAGGGTGTGCGGAACCTAGGAGACTTACCTTTCCTCTTGGATTTTATCTTATTCCTTAAGGGTTTCTTCCAAAGAACCATGCAAAATAGTTTGAAACCAGGACCAGCAAATGGTGTAATGGTTACATTGCTGGACTCCCACAAGGCCAATCGCATTCGAGACCTGGACCCAGAGACTTGAAACTCACCCCGTATATGTGTGTGTACATGCCCCAAATCCTAAGAGGAGAATGGAGGGGAAGGGATTGTTGCATGGCCATCCCTCCAGGGGGCGATTTCTCATTTTCTGTCTCTCTCTGTATTTCCAGTGAGCACACATGACCTATTTTTTTCACGGTCGCGACAAACACATCAAAAAAAAAAAAAAAAAAAAAAAAAAAAAAAAAAAAAAAATCTCTCTCAAAAATAGTTTGAAGACCACTAGACAAGGCACCCCAGCTCTCTTGAGCTATAGAAGCAAAGACTCTTTACCTTGATGAGGCATTCCTTCAACGGAGAAGGCAGACGGTACTACTTCATTAAAGGAATTGTGTTTGTAGTGTCGTATCGCTGATCTTACCTTCTGGTACATTCAAAGAATATGAAGTGAAATGAATGCAATAGGCATCTCTTGTAATTGGATGTCGCATTTCAGTCTCAGAACGTGTAGAGTAACCTGCTCTTTGATTGTACCTTTTAGAAAGTGATAGACAATCCCAGTGAATCTGAGATTCCTACTGGAGTGCTAAGGCCGTGAAAAAGTTTGGATTGTCAGTTGCTTGTACTCCCTGACTTTATGATGAATTAGGCAGTAATGGTTTGTTTTGGTCCTTTTTTTTTTCTTTTTGCATAATAATTCACTATTACACATTGGAGCTCTAGCTCCTGTAGTTTAGATAAAGCAATGGTATTTAGCTAATCTGATTCTTTACACGGATGCTGAAATAAATCCAGATGTGTGTTGGTCAGGAAAGTACTGCTTTACTTTGACCTAGCTATTTAAAGCTGAGTGCTCACAGATAATGGGTGTGGTACTGGTTGGAAATGCATAAATTACTACCACAGGGTTTTAAATGGCTAGTAGGTAGATGCAGCTTTTAGAGGACTTCTGACAAAAGTTAGGTCTGTGCAGAGTATAGCAGTGAGAAAAGATTTAGACCAAAAATGTCAAAGTATATGTGCTGCTCCACTGGCACTGGTTTTAATTCTGTTCAGCTAGTGTTTAAGCACCATGGAGAAGGTTTTGGTGGTGAGATACGGGTTCCATGATGTCCACACTAACCATGGTGCCAGTGCAGCAGGCTTAATGTAGGCTATTCTTGCTTGTGCCTCACGACCTCCTGGGATTGCAGTTTTATAGCTCTTGTCAAATCGTCTTCCATTTTTTCTTGAGTGAAGGTTGGAAAATAAGAAAAAGCTAGTTGAAAGGGACCAGCAGTTATGTAATGGCTATGTCGCTGGACTCCCATGTAGTCGACCGTGGTTCGAGTCCCGGACCCGGTGGCTTAAACTCACGTCGGGCGCATGTGTGTGTGTGCCCAAGATCCCAAGAGGAGAATGGAGGAGAAGGGATTGTGGCATGGCCATCCCCCCTGGGGGGTGATTTCTCGCTTTCTGTCTCTCCGTCTCTCTCTGTCTGTCTGGTGAGCGCACGTGCCCTATAGCGAAAACCTCTCCAAAAATAAAAGAAAGAAAAAGCTAGTTGATGGCACCAGCAAGTGGTATGGTGATTAAGGGGCTAGACTCCTTAATCACCAAAACATGGCTGACCATGGTTTGAATACCAGACCTGGCAACTTGCTCTCACTCTCTCTGTTTCTGGTGAGTGCATGTAGTATATAATTTAAAAATAATAAAAAGAAATATTCTGAAAAAAAGGAAAGAAAGCCAGTTTGAAGAGAATGCACTTGTTAAAATGGTCCTATTAAATCAGGAATTAAAAAGTTAAGCATCTGATGCTCAAGCAACTGAAACATATACATACAGGACTATTAGTTTTTGTTCCGTGATTTACTCTGGTTCCTACTTCACCAAATGAGCAAGAATCTGCAATAGAACACAGTAGGCAAGGTACAGTAATATTCCAAGTATTGTGTCCCTAGGTCTTCCTGAAGTATTTAAGCTTTCCAAACACATCCCTTTGTGCTCAGCTATCCTTTAATTTCTTGTGTATATAGATTGTCTCGAAGGTTTGTTTATTTTCTCATTTTGTCATAGGGAGTGTTTTCCCTGGAGAGGCAGGTGAGAAATCAGTCACCCACCAGGGGTGATGGCCACACCACAATTCCTTTTCCTCCATCCTCGGTATTTTTGACACTCAGTTACATGCACCTGGCGTGATTTGCAAGCTGCCCAGGACTCATACTGTAGTCAACCATGTGGATCCAGTGCCTTAAACTCCAGGCCATCTGCCGGCCTCAGTCTCTTAAGTTTTTGCCTCCAAACAAACGCAAGTCAACCTGTAAATCACTTTCATTTTTTTCCACCTTGTTTCTTAAATGAGTCGTTTCTATTTAGTAGATCATTGTTTCACTTGCTTTTCAGACCCCTGCAGCCAGATGCTGCCCTCCGCAGGCCACTGACACTTGTGTGCCAGGGATTGCTAATGACCCATCTGCAAACCTATTCATTTGGCCTCTCAGACACCACTGATGTGACCTTACTCTGACCACTTTTTCATTGATACCTTTATTTGTCCCAGAGATGTTAATGTTGCCCAGTTTTATTTTTAGCCCCTTTCTGTTTTACATTGTGTCCCGAGATAGTCTCATCTACACACTTGGTAGATTATGCTGTGATAAATGTAGTCCACAACTGACTTTTCTCTACCAGTTTTAATTTTTAAAGGTTTTTGCCATAGGACAGGTACACTTGCCAGAGACAATGAAAGGGAAAATGAGAAATCACCCCCCAGGGAGATGGCCATGCCACAATCCCTGCTCCTCTATTCTCTTGGGATTTTAGACACATGCACACACGCCCACCATGATTTTCAAGCCACCAGGTTGGAAACGTGAATGACATTTGGCCTTGTGGAAGCCCAGTACCTACTTCAACCATGACGTCACCTGCTGGCAGACCCCTCTCCATCAGTTCAAAAAACAACTTTATTTTGCTGAACTCTTAACATGGATGTCCCATTTTTACTCAAACTCATAATGTCCCTCCACTCAGATTTTTTTTGTGGTTGTTTCCTCGTTTTCTAAAACCTTACCTAAATCATATTCACACATTAGTAGGTGTGTTGCTTGTGTGTGTGTGTGTGTTTTGGCATATTGTACATAACTTCAATTACGGCTCTAAACAGTCATCTCAATTTTTAGTTTTTTTATAGTCATCTTTTTGAGGGCTTTGTTAATTTCTTTTATGGCCAACCCTTACCTTGATGGGTGCTTCATCAATTTTACACCTTTCTTCCAGGTTTGTCAGTCGGTCAGCTAGCTCCTTCAAAGCGGCAGCTTGCTGGGGAGGCTGTGGGGCAGAGTGGAGGCTGGAGGCCTGAACAGTTGCCTCTCTGGTGGAGGCCAAGTCTGAGGGCAGAGCGAGGTGTGGAGAAAGTGAAGTCTGTGGCTGCCCACATGAGAAAATCCACTTCTGTTGGGCCCCAACTCCCATTTTATGTTTCCGCCTGATAGTATTACCAAGTCCTCTATGGAATTGCTTCATTTTTTGGTGTCAGCACACAGTCGGACATGTTTTCTGTTCTGTAAATTGTATATATTCTGGAATGATCCCCTTACTTATGAAGGAGTCTTATCTGGGAGGATCCTGGGACATAACTTTATACTTTTAGGTTAGATAGGACCCTTATTAGGATCATACACTTGGTAGAAGCAGGTGGTTATCTGATGCTCGGACCACTAGGACACCATGCTCCTATCCAAAATAGACACTGTAATCCTCTAAAGTGGTGAAAGATTCTCGAGATGAATTAATATGAAAACACATAGAAATGAGGAGTCAACTCTCCATGGCTATCTACACATCTTGTGAACAGAGGTAAAAATAGTTTGAATTCCAGAGTATCCTCTCAAGAATGATTGTAAATAAACAGCTTTGCAAGGTAGATTGTCTCCCCTGGGAGCCTGAGACAGGCTTGTTTACCATTCAGTATAATAAAAGTTTTCTTCTGATGCAAAAGTCAGGGGCCAGCCAGGTCATATGGTGAAGGTGACTGGATCCCACACAACCAAATAAGTGGTTTGAGTCCCAGATCCAGTAGCTTGGAAAACATTCCAGGTGCATATGCCCAAAACCCCAAGAAGAGAATGGATTGTGGGGGTGGCCTTCCCCCCAGGTGATTTTCTCACCCCCACCTCCACCCCTTTGTGGCAAATACATGTGCGCTATAGAAAAAAAATAGTAAGTTTGCTTGTGGCCAGTTCATTATAGATCCAGGTTGATGCGAACCTACTGCACGCTCAGTATTCACCAGGGTCACTCCATGTGAGATGTCGCAATGCTCCCCATGGCTGTGGCCACATGGGAAGGTCCCAGATTTGCATCCTGTGTGCATGTCTGTGATCCTGGCTGGTTGGGCTGGGGGGTGGATCAGGATGCAAGGACCTGTGAGGCATGTCCCCCACCTCAGAATAATTTTCTGACCTGGGAGTTGGTTGCCAGCATTCAGGAAATGATCGTTTGTAAAGGGGTAATATCTTAGACGCTATAGTTCTTGACACAGAGGATACACTGGCAGATAAAATCAGGTAGCAGCTGTTTAGGGCTGGCTCCACAGCACAGCAGCTAGGGAACCAGATGCACATGGTCACGGGAAGTGGACAAGTCCTGGTTCCCCACTCCCTGAGACTTGAGGAAGTGTTTCAAAGCTTGCAAACAGATCAGATTGTCACGTTGTTCACAAGTCAGGTTAGTAGGGACTGGGGCTAGGATTGATTACCCCCTGCCCCCTCCACCCAACACTCCCAAGTTATGCAACCCTATTTGCCCCAGTCGTGGATAATTATTACTTTTACACTCAAAAGTTTCTTGGTTTGGTTAAACTATATGGTATTCTTGTTTATAGATAGCCTTAAGATTAGTGGACTTCTACCTTCTAAACTGCAATTTGAATGATCTTTAATTAGAAATACAGAGGGCAGAAATTCCTATTTTAATAGTTTTAAAACCAAAGCTGTTTTCTGTTGTTTGAGGATGTGTTCCCTATTCATCCCATAGTTATGAACAAGAGTAGAGGTTACTTCAGGTATGCTTCCTGAAAGATTCCATGTGGTTTAGAAATGTAATCAAACTCAGTGAAACCAGTTTGAGGATAAACTTGGCCACAAGGCCCAGGTCTGACTGGGACCCTTCCAGGCCGCTGGCAAGTAGGGGTGAGGTAAGGAGTGAAGTAAATCGGCTCTACCAGCTCTCCCTAGTCTTGGTACCCAGGAAGGAGGATGTTCGCAGGAAACCATCATCCACACCAAGAAACACTCTGGTTTCACACACTCACCTGCTCTGTATGTTACTATCTTCAGTTAGTCTGAGCTTACAAAGGAGAGGCTGTGGATTTACCCAGGACTATAATCAATAACCTAGTTATCTTTCTGTTTAAAGAACAGATAGAAAAGCTTATTGAATGTAATATTTATTTGATGAATTTACATGTGAGGTCATTTACAAAAGAAAGATACAGACAGATGCAGCTTTCAGTGCAGTTTTGGATATTTCACAACAGGCAACAGTCCAGGGGAATTTGGAATGACAGTACTGAACGGCACATGCTGCAGTTCCCTTGTGTTTTTCTACCCAATCCCACAGGGAAAGAAAGGAGAGTAGAAGCAGATGTCAGCGTTAATGTAAATCCAGCCATGCAAATAAAAACTTTCGTTTTTAAAGCCAGAGGTCACTCAGAGATGTAGAACATTTCTGTATTCAGGGGTTATAATAGGTGCACAATTTAAGAATAAAATGCAGAGCTCTCAAACTTTCCATTATCCAAGTCATCTTAAATTATGTTAACTGCCCCCCGAAACTAGAGGCCACCTCAATGTTTTCCAAAGACTGACTTTGGAAAAAGAGTCATTTCTAATAGTTTCTAAAAAGATAGCAAGTGTAGACAAAATCTTTTTGGTTTCAACAGGATTAAAGCACCCTTTTTAAAAGAGGGGTAAAATGCTCCTTTACTCCCAACAATGTAAACTATAATAGGATTTCATGTCTAGAAAAGTGTAACTGAAACCTTGCTTTGTATTATATTCAGGCTTAAACCTCTCCCACTCCAAACATTTCAAGAGACCACTTATGAATACAAACAGTCCTTCCCCTACCAGAAAAATCTAGCATATAAGCAAAAGAATGGTCTAAAAAAGTGACAATTAGAAATAAACCTTAAGGTGACTTCTAAGGAAGGAGGGTGAAATAAAGATGAACAAAGCCAAAAATCTGTCAGGATCACTAGTGAAGCCCTGGACTGGAGCGGCCAGCCCTTAGACGGCAGGGCTAGCCAGCGCTCCAGCCCCGCCTGATGCCTCGGCATGCTGGAAGCTCTGCTCAGCTGCCCTGAAGCACGTGCGGCTGAGCTCAAGTACTGCATTTGTCATCTCTGGAAACACAACAGTCTGGCTCCAAGACGTCATCCTTTGGGAACCATAAGTCACATTTTCTTCGCTAGAAATGTTAAAATGTTATTAAATACTCTCATGTATCACACTTAGACCATCTGAGTTACACACACAAGCGACCTTCACTTCCTTTTAGAAAGCACACTATTACATAGTACTTAAATAGCACACTAAAACAGTACTGTTTTCTACAGCCATGAGCAATTAAGACACCTGCATTTCACTTTACCTTGTTGCCTGGTCCACTTCCCCATCGATACTCAGTCATTCAGCACCGACGTCAGTCGGAATATTTTGCTTCTGCATAATTTACTGTGTGAAAACCAGCTGTTGTGGACTTTAAGCACGATGTACATTATCCATTAGAGTGGAAGAGGGTCAAAAGGATTAATAGCTGCCACTAAGTTTCTACAAAGTTCTGCAGAATTGGAGGCATTGTGCATGCTGACAATGGTTTAAAGGGTCTCTCAATTTTACATTTTAACCCCCACTTAAGCTGTTTTCTTCCAAAAAATCAACTAAAAGGGATTAATTAAATATAAAATAAATCTGTTTTACAGCACTTACTATGTTAATTAAAAAACCCACCTGCTGTAAAATACTCACATATTAGACTTACATATAAAGACAAAATCATCCAGAACATAATCAACCCCCCAAACCCCCATCAAAAGAAAAAATATCAAATCAACAAATCCAAGTTTTTATTTGCATGGCCACTTATTATCTGTACTCTTTGCAACTTTGTTTTTAATATCCCTTTAACAAGTTTCAAGCTTTCCTTGTATGGGAATTAAAAGCTGCAAGACTGCAGACTTCCTTTCAACAGCCAGGCCACAACACCTAAACATGAAACATACGTAAGGAATGGCAACATCACGGAGGGAAATACTAGTTCCACCATTCAACACAGTTCTTGACAGTGTCTTCAGGGTTCAGTTGAAGAGGGGGTAAACTTAAAAAGAGGGTTGAGTCTCCTTCCCCTGTTTTACAATGTTGGTGGTTTTAACCCGTATTTCTTTGCAACTTCTGTCTGGGCATGGGCAGCATCACAAAGAGAGTACAGATGAGCCATCTCCATTTCCGATTTGGCCAGATTAATAGCTTTGTTGAACATGTCAATGGCTTTCTCCATGTTTCCTCTAAAAGAAACAAAATTATAAGTCTCAAATTCAATAAGCACATCACAATATTCAATGAAGTTTGTATATATGCTACATGAACTCTGACCACTAAGTTTCAACCATGATCCTAAGATGCTTCTTTTATAATAACAATACCTAGCTCACAGAAAACACTCAATGAATGTAAGCCACTGTAACTCCTCCAGTGTGACTACAGTAGGACTACACTACATAGCTAACATGACAGCCTTATTTGCAAACAACTTTTAAGGGGCCGGTAGGTGGCATGGTGGTTAGGGTGCTGTATCTCACATGGCTGACCAGTTTGAGCCCTCGAACCGGCAGCTTGAAAAACATGCCAGGTACATGTGAGTACATGCCCAAAATCCCAAAAGGAGAATGGAGAAGAAACTGCAGAGTGGCCATCCACCCCCCTTGAGGGGTGATTTCTCACTTTCTCTCACTGTCTCTCTCTGGTGCATGCACAATCCCTATAGCAACACACACACACACAAACATAGTTTTAAAATACTTCAACAGCACGATCTCTTAAATCCTAGGATGACCTGCCATTTCATTCATTCATTTAATTGTAAGATAAGATTTAGAATAGATCTCTTAAAATACAATTAACACATGAATAACATTCCATCCAACCCTCTAAATCAGGTCCTTAACTCAGAGGTTACTATCACCTTAAATTAAATGCAAAGTGTTGTTTCATGTGTATTATACACAGAATCTTTAATCAGCCTTTACATAGTCTGCCTACTCTAGAACAGACAGGGACACAGGAGGGGCTGAATGATAGCGCATTAACAGATGGAACTCTGCGTTGGTTCTTGACAAGTGACAGTGGCAAAACAGTGATTTTGGCATCAGTGAAATATGACTCAAATCCTGTCTTCACTACGGGCTCACTGCAATCCTGCTAACCTAACTAGTCTGGGCATCGGTTTCTACACTCTTCGTCTGGACTGGAAATCATATAACCTCTGCTTTCATAAAGATGGAGTTAAAGGGAAACTGAAATAGTATTTGGAGAACACCTAAAGTTCAGTCCTAGCCTGGAGTAGGTGCTCAGATGGAAGACAATGCCAGTATTAAGATAGCATTCAACAATAAATTCCATATGGATACATTAACTGTTAATGGTGAATCTTGAGTATAATGGATAAACATTTACAGGAAACAAGTTAGAAAGTTGAAACTGTAGAAATTCTTATCTCTGATTTTTAAATAAATTCAGGGGCTCAGAAATAATGTTGCAGGGGCCAGCAGGTAGTGTAGTAGTTAAGGCACTGCTCAACTCCCATGTAAGCAACTGCAGTTCAAGTCCCAGACCCAGTTTGAAGTTCGTGCTGGACATGTGTGCATGCATGTCCAAAATCCCAAGAGGAAAATGGAGAAGTGAGTGCAGCTTGGCCATCTCCCCTTGCAGGTGATCTCACTTTCTATCTCTCTGTCTTTGTCTCTCTGACAAGCACAAGTACCTATAGCAAAAATCTTTAAAGATGATGATGATGATGATGATGATGATGATGTTGCAATTTGCCCAGTTGTTTGGCTGGTTGCTTCTTTGTAGCAGGATCCAGATCTTCTAGCAACCTGACTACCAATCCTTGCTACTCTGTACTGCCTAAGCACATTAAAGGCATTTTTTCCTCTTGGACAGGAAAAGAGGTGAAAAGAGGATAGAACACACACACAGATATTAGTGAAAGATGAATTTCCCTTTCTAAAGCATATGCTTGACTTGACTTTGCTAAGTGTGAGTTTTAATTTGGAAAAAAAGTTGAGACAAGGCAAATCAAAGTTGCATAATTTTGAAGGAAACTTGTCTTTAAAGGCTTAACAGACTTAAAAAATTAGTAAATATTGATAGTAACTTGTATGAAGAAAGAAGAATGAAAGGATAAGTATCTGTGAAGCTGCCATGAATTTCCAAAGAACAGACTCTTGATTACCTTTGTACTTCAATAGTTCCCATGGTTTCATAGGCAAAATCGCACTTATTGTCAATTTCAATAGCCTTGCTGATAAGCTCCAAACCTCTATCCAGATCTTGCTTCCACTGAAGTTGAAGTAAACTGCAAATGAAAAGATATGACCATGGCTCAGTATCAATAGCCTATATGTATATGACTCAATTTAGTTAACATGGGAAAACAAAAAATAAACCAGCATACAATCAGTATCCAATGGTTAAATTTTTTTCTCAATTGATATTGGCTTTATAGTTTAAATTCCTTATTATAAAAAACATGTCCCATGGTCGAGGCTCTCTTACTAACTTATCTCACATTCCTTATTCTTCCCTTTGTATAATTTAATTGAAGATTCTTAGGATATTCTAGTATACTAGAACAAGAAAAACTTCTTTTAGACGTTTTCTATTTTGACTGATACAGGCAATATTTGATAGCGTATTCAGAACTAAAATTAAAACCCTTAATGTAGAGTGATGACAATGCATTTACTAATTTCTATGCAAGAACGAATCAGCATCCACAAGCATTAATAAATGTGTCTCTTAATCACAGATACTTCTCTACCACAGTCCCCTTCCTTTATGGCCAAAAAAAATTTATTACCATACAAGAAATTTAGTTTCTTTGGAACAAACTAACCACAAAAATACATACCCTTTATGAACATATGTTGTGGCATTATCTGGTTCCAAATCAATACACTTATCATACATTTCATCAGCTTTACCAAACTGCTGTTGATCTGTTAATGCCTATATGAGGAGATACTTCAGTTATATTAAGGTAACTGTCAACCTAAGCAGTTAAAAGTGTATTTCCTATTACTTAATAAACTTTGCTTCATTTTTTCATTCATTACCAAATTATTATGTTTTGGAGGTACAAATTGATTAAAATCAGCCTAATTATTGGAACTTTTAGGAGGCACTGTTACAAATATGAACTCTTAACTGTTCTCTAGGTAAGTGGTTAGTTATAGGCAACAGCAAATTATCTAGTAAAGAGCAGAATGCGGAACACCCCACTCTTAACCGACAGTTTTAATACCCATTCTCACAGGTACTCATCTTTATTTAAATTTATCATAATACATCCTAGGGAAATTACTTTAAAGGCAATGTTCATTTGGAAGGATCAATTAAGATGTATGTGTGACCAGAGTAATTCCTTAATTGACCGAGGGTGAGTGAGGGCAGTACTATCAATTTTTTTTAAATATTCGCCAGAGGCTGCATGCGCTCAGAGACAGGGTAAAAGTGAGAAAGCACCCTTTGTGTGGTATGGCCATGCCATAATCCCCTCTCCTCCATCTCTCCCTTCTGTTGGGTTTTTGGAGGTACACCCACATACACCCAAGCATATTTTCTAAGCCACCAGGTCTGGGTCTGGAACTCAGGACTCGAATCACACAGTCTGTCATTTGGGATCCGGTTGCCTTAACCACCATGCCACAAGCTGTCCCATATCAACTATTTTAAGGCAGAACTCCTGGCTGAAATGGAAGGCTTACATAGTACACGCTTTTGTAATTAACAATGTATTGACAGCAATCAAAGTTTCGTTTTGATTATCACCATCCTATCTAGGCACTGTGTAGAAAGAACAAAGACTGAATTGGTAAGATTATTTCAAACTGAAGTTAAAGAACTTCTGCGTCCTGTTTCATACAGCGGACTTTCAATCCCTATTAATGCAATGAGTCGTATGTACGACTTACTTTTAAAGAGCAGATCCAACACAAAATAGTCTTCTTATTCCCCCTCAATAAATCCTTAAAGTTCTTATGAAATTTTTCTTAAAACCTGCCTAAAGATAGCATGAAGAAAATGATAAACAAAATAAGCCACCTTAAGAAACGGTTCAGGAGAGTGAAACTATGGCTAGGTGGTAAAACATAAAGCCTCTGTGAGGCTAACCCACAAGCGAAGGCTCCAGTTCGCACCCAGCATCCTCCCTGAGTATACCAGTATATGCAAGCCCTTGGACAAGGCTGGCTAAGCTGGGCGGGGGGAATCTTGGTGCTGGACCCTGTTGGGGGTTCTCTCTCTCTCTCTCTCTCTCTCTCACTCACTCACTCACTCACTCATAGAGGAGATGAACAAACTTTAAAAAAAAGCAAGCAAATTTAGGGAGAGGAGTCTTTTCTTTTATAATAAAAAGCAGCTTTCAGGACCAGAGGATAGCATGTTTATGTTGCTGAATTCCCACATAGTTGACTGCAGTTCGAATTGTAAACTCAGAGACTTGAAACTCAATGCTCTGTGTGCCCCCAAGACCCCGAGAGGAGACTGAAGGAGAAGGGATTGAAGCATGGACATCCTCTCCCCCTGTCAGGGGGTAATTTCTCACTTTCTGTCTTTCTGTCTCTCTGGTGAGCACATGCACCCTACAGCAAACAACTCTCTTTTAAAAAAAGTTTTCAGCTTAAAGACTGAGAGAGAAATAGTCATTCGCAGATCATCTATTTGTGGAAAAAAATATAACTGGCTATAAGAAGCTAATTATTTTAATTTAAATGGATCATTTAAAATATATTTCCAAGAGTTTCAGACTACAATCAAAAAATTTAAAGAATTCAAATTTAAATCCTCTCTATAGTTTCAATCATAAGCTAAGAAAGTTTTAAGAATTTTAGCAAACCAAAGAGAAATTAAAGCAAGCTGTTACAGCCTAGTTAACAATTTTTTTTTTTTTTTTTGAAGAGGTCTTTGCTATCGGGCGCATGCACTCACCAGAAAGACAGAGAGAGATGGAGACAGAAATCGAGAAATCACCCCCCGGGGGGAATGGCCATGCTGCACTCCCTCCTCCTCCATTCTCCTCTCAGGATCTTGGGCACATGCACACACACGCACCTGCAGTGAGTTTAAGCCACCAGGTCTGGGGCTTGAACCATGATCAACTACATGGGAGTACAACGACATAGCCATTATACCAACTGCTGGTCCCCAGAACTTGATCTTTTTAAAGAAGATTGATTCCTCCATTCTCCTCTCGGGATCTTGGGCACACACGTACACGTGCCCAGCGTGAGTTTTAAGCCACCGGGTCCGGGACGCAAACCGCGGTCGACTACATGGGAGTCCAGCGACATAGCCATTACGCTAACTGCTGGTCCCCCTAGTTAACAATTTTAAAAAGGACAGTCAGGGCCAGCAGGTGGTGTGAGTTAAGGCGGCAGACCCTCGCAAAGCTAACCAGTTGAAGTCCTGGACCTGGCAGCTTGAAAATAATGCCAGGCTCATGTGCATGTGTGCCTGAAACCCTGAGAGGAGAATAAAGAAGGGATTGTGGTGGGCCATTGTCCCAGGGGACAGTTTCTCACTTTCTCTCTCTCCAGCAAGTCCATGGGCCCTATGGCAAAAACCCTAAAAATAAAAAAAGAAAAGAAAAAGATAGTCATCAAATAAAAGAAAAACCTTGCCACAGACATTCTCCCTACCAACTGTGTACAGTATATTTACCAAATATAAGGAGTTTTTGCAAATCCAACCCAAATAAAAACCTGAGAGAAATGGTCATTTTAAACAAGCCACATATGGGGTTATGGCCATGGCTTCCAATTGTGGAGCACAGGGACCTCTCCTGAGGTGAGTCAGGACCATCCTGGGGACCAGGAACAAAGCTACCTGCTTCAACAACAGAAGCTGTGACCTGGGTAGCACTGTTTTCTGATTTTCATCCTGGGATTCAGCAGAATCCAGTTCTTTTCAAGAAAATTTGAAAAACCACATTTACCTGGGCATAAAGTGCATAACCTTCAGCACACTTTGGAAATTTCTTTATGACCTCTTCAAAACCTTTCATAGCTGCTTGGATTTGTGAAGAATTGCTTCCTGTATATGCCTGACGATACTATTGAAAAATAAATTTTGAAGAGGTCTTTGCTATAGGGCCCGTGCGCTCGCCAGACAGAGAGAGACAGAAAGTGAGAAATCACCCCCCGGGGGGATGGCCAAGCTGCGATCCCTTCTCCTCCATTCTCCTCTCAGGATCCTGGGCACGCATGCACATGCGCCCGGCTTGAGTTGTTTTTTTTTTTTGAGAGAGATTTTCGCGATAGGGCACGTGCGCTCGCCAGCCAGACAGAGAGAGACATAGAGACAGAAAGCAAGAAATCAACCCCCAGGGGGGATGGTCACGCCGCAATCCCTTCTCCTCCATTCTCCTCTCGGGATCTTGGGCACACACGTACACGTGCCCAGCGTGAGTTTTAAGCCACCGGGTCCGGGACGCAAACCGCGGTCGACTACATGGGAGTCCAGCGACATAGCCATTACGCTAACTGCTGGTCCCCCTAGTTAACAATTTTAAAAAGGACAGTCAGGGCCAGCAGGTGGTGTGAGTTAAGGCGGCAGACCCTCGCAAAGCTAACCAGTTGAAGTCCTGGACCTGGCAGCTTGAAAATAATGCCAGGCTCATGTGCATGTGTGCCTGAAACCCTGAGAGGAGAATAAAGAAGGGATTGTGGTGGGCCATTGTCCCAGGGGACAGTTTCTCACTTTCTCTCTCTCCAGCAAGTCCATGGGCCCTATGGCAAAAACCCTAAAAATAAAAAAAGAAAAGAAAAAGATAGTCATCAAATAAAAGAAAAACCTTGCCACAGACATTCTCCCTACCAACTGTGTACAGTATATTTACCAAATATAAGGAGTTTTTGCAAATCCAACCCAAATAAAAACCTGAGAGAAATGGTCATTTTAAACAAGCCACATATGGGGTTATGGCCATGGCTTCCAATTGTGGAGCACAGGGACCTCTCCTGAGGTGAGTCAGGACCATCCTGGGGACCAGGAACAAAGCTACCTGCTTCAACAACAGAAGCTGTGACCTGGGTAGCACTGTTTTCTGATTTTCATCCTGGGATTCAGCAGAATCCAGTTCTTTTCAAGAAAATTTGAAAAACCACATTTACCTGGGCATAAAGTGCATAACCTTCAGCACACTTTGGAAATTTCTTTATGACCTCTTCAAAACCTTTCATAGCTGCTTGGATTTGTGAAGAATTGCTTCCTGTATATGCCTGACGATACTATTGAAAAATAAAGACAGGCCGGTCAAGTCAAGACCTTGTCAACTTATGGAAAGTTAACATGTTACAAAACTCACAAAATGACATAAATATTTCCAGAGAAGCAGGTGATTTGCTAACATAAATTTGCTGTATCTAAAGAGTTCCAAGAAACTATCTCAGTACCAGAGATCCAAACGCTATGTACAACTAGGACTTCATGGCCACTGTACAATTTCAATGTTCAGTGTTCTGCACTGACTTATAAGACACTAACTTTGTGTATAAAAGGAGAGTTTAAAAGCAAATAAAATTTTAGTCATTTTCCATGTGACCCAATTTCTTTCTTTAGAGGGAAAATTATTTCAGAACTCTGGCTAACAAGCTCAATGGAAGGTTCTTATTTTACTACAAATGGACTCTTTTTACTTTTTTGAGCTTTGTGTTTTTGAACATTGTTAAGAAATAGTTCTACGGGCCTGGCTGCAATGGCCCACAGGCAAAGCCCAGGTTTAAGTACCAGTCCCACTTAAAGGCTGGACACCTGTAATCCTGTGGACTCAGGGAAGCTGAGGCAGGCCTGGGCAACACAGCAAGACTCTGTCTATAAAAGAAAGGAGGTGGTAAGTGCCTCAGCTGGGAAGCTGAGGCAGGGGGATTACAACAGAGACCTTGTCTTAGGAAAAAATGAAATTAGAAGTGGAAGAACGAAACATAAAGAACAGTTATGTAGTATCATGAAAGTATATCCTTAAAATGCTTTTGTTCTTTGTACAATGTTTATGGTAGAGAAGCAAGAACACTAGGTCTGTTTAGGGTAGCATAAAATTGGGAATAAATGTCTACCCAGATAAACATAAATATCCAGAGAAATACAAAAGCTGTATTATCAACTAGCAATATATGCTTACTAACACATCCCCCCATCTTCTGGGGAAAAAAGAATAGATGATTTGGTAGATGATTTTGTTGACACTAGAAAATAAAAATGATATATAAAAAAATACTCGGGTGTTACCTACCAATGCAAAACACTTCTGAGCTTGTGCCAGGGCGGACTCGGGTCTTAATCGAATACATTCATCAAAATCTGCCACTGCTTCCTCGACTTGATCAAGCAGTATTTTTAACTAAGAAAAAAATACACAAATGCAGTTAAACAAATGTGTACTTATACATTCAAGTATACACGGTGTCTTTTCTCTATTATCAGAACTCAGCATAACTCTCAGCATGTAGTTAACTATTCAACATAGAATTACTTACTAGAAACAGTAAACTAGAGAATCTTACCATTTTACAACTAAAAGACCAGTGTTCAGGACCAGCAAATGGTGTAATGGTTACACTGCTGGACTCCTATGTGGCCAACCATGATTTAAGTCCCAAGTTGCACTTTTGGGATAGTCCAAGCTATTATTTCCTTATAGCAAAAAGCCCAGGGAACCAGCAGTTAGCATAATGGCTATGTCGCTGGACTCCCACGTAGTCGACTGCGGTTCGCGTCCCGGACCCGGTGGCTTAAAACTCATGCCGGGTGCATGTGCGTGCGTGCCCAAGATCCCGAGAGAAGAATGGAGGAGAAGGGATTGCGGCGTGACCATCCCCCCGGGGGGTGATTTCTCGCTTTCTGTCTCTATGTCTCTCTCTCTCTCTGGCGAGCGCACACGCCCTGTAGTAAAAGCCTCTCAAAAAAAAAAAAAAAAAAAGCCCACAAAAACCACCCTGTTATTTAAGATTAAATCAAAATGATTACCAAATGTTATTGATGTTTTACTCATTGAAAATCTATGAACCAGAAATTGGAAAGCCAACATTTTTGCTTTCCTTTTCTTTTTCTCCCACTGGTAAATATCAAAATTACAAGGACAAAATGTTAAAAATGTAACTTAAAGGTCAATCTAGACGGTAAACCACTGCAATATTTTGTTCATAGCTATGAGAAATGACACAAGAAACTTAAATTTTCCAACGTGGTGTCAATAGCTGGATGCACAGGTCGGAACTGTCATTACCTGTCCTCGGTGGTGATAAACGTCAGCATTCTGAGGATCGATGTCAGCAGCCATATTGAAGTCCTGAGTAGACAGCATGGGCTGCTGCTGCTGCATGTACATGCTGCCCCTCTTGATGAGAGCATTTGCTTGAAGCTACACCCAGTGGGAGTGAGAAGAAGTTCATTATTTATTAAAAGTAGCACTTTTATTATTTAATTTAAGCAATGTTAAGCTCACTTTTTCTTTTAAATAATTTTTGCCAACAGGCATGTATGCTCACCAGAGACAGAGAAAGACAGTGAGAAAGTGCTCCCCCATGGGGGATGGTCTCACTGCAATCCCTTTCCCACCTTTTCGCCCGCCTTTCAGGATTTTGGCATGTGCACACCATGTGCCTGGCATGTTTTTCAAGTCGCCAGCTCCAGGACTCAACCCACATGGCTGACCATGTGGGATCCTTAACCAGCATGCCAGTGGATGACACAGGCTCACCCTAACATGTACACACTAATCATTTGTAGTATATTCACTAAGTTGTGCACTATCTAATTTGACCATTTGCATCGCCGCCCACACCCCCAAATAAAAGCATCGTACATAATTAGCAGTCACTCCACATTCTCCTCTAATCTCCAGCCTCTAGAAATCACCAACCTACTTTTCATTTCTGTGGATCTGTACATTTTGGATGTTTCATATAAATGGAATCATACATTATGTGGCCTTCTGTGTCTGGCTTCTTTCACTTATTTTCAAGGTTAATCCATGTTGTATGTTTTAGTACTTTCTTCTTTTTTATGGTTGAAAAATATTCCATTGTACAAATATGCCACATTTTATGGGTTGCTTCTGTTTCTTTCTTTCTTTTTTTTCTTGGACAGGTTTTTGCTATAGGGCGCGTGCACTCGCCAGAAAGACTGAGAGAGACAGACAGAAAGCGAGAAATCACCCCCCGGGGGGATGACCATGCCACAATCCCTTCTCCTCCATTCTCCTCTCGGGATCTTGGGCACTCATGCACATGCACCCGGCTGAGTTTAAGTCACCGGGTCCAGGACTTGAAGTGCAGTTGACTAAGTGGGAGTCCAGTGACATAGCCATTATACCAACTGCTGGTCCCCCAGCAGTTTTTGACTACCATGAATAATGCTGCTATAAACATGCATGTATAGGTGTTTGTGTCAAAATTTATATGTAATTATCTTGAGTACATACCCAGGAGTGGCATTGCTGGATCATATGGTTACTCTTTAATTTTCTGAAAAATTGTAAACTAATTCCCAAAAGAGTTTTACTATTTTATACTCCCACCAGCAGTGAATGAGGGTTCAATGTCTCTACATCCTTACCAATACTAATTCTTAATCTTTTGATTATCACCATCCTAGTAGATGTAAAGTGGTATCTCATTTTTATTGTGATTTGCATTTACCTCATGGCTAAGATGCTAAGTATCTTTTCAAGTTCTTAGAAATCATTTGGATATATTCTTTGGAAAAATATCTAGTCTGATCCTTTGACCATTTTAAAATTAAGATTGTCTTTCTATAGTTGAGCTCTAAAAGTTCTTTGTATTACGCACTAGCCCCTTATCAGATCAATGATTTGTGAATATTTTCTAAATATATAAATCATAGCTTAGTTTATTTTTAACCCCACCATGCCTTGCATTCATAGGGAATAAGTTTCATTGGTTCTCACAAAGTGTGCTTCTCTGGGTGGAGTAGGCTGGTACTTCAGTGGAACTCAGGTAATTTTCTCTTTGGCCTCTTTCTTTTTCTGGTCATTTTCCCTCACACATTTTAGGAAGCTATCTTTGCTTTTGGAATGTTTAATATGCTCAATATGCACATTAATTCACTTGGCAAGAGTTCACAACAACGTGAACAGCATGCTGGGTAACACTGTAGACTCTCCCAGTTTTGCCGTGATAACATTTGCAGGGCATTCCTTTTTGAACAGTACCTGCTCCCTTAATGTCTACAATATCACCTTTCTTGTAGATTCACATGTATGTTACCAAAGGAATCACTCCATGTTGCCTAAAAGACCTAGGGAACATAAATCATTGCCTCTCCTCTTTTCCTTTGTGTTTGCCATTTTAGTTAATTACTGGAAGATGGTATCTCTGGCCAAAAGGCATGAATTATTTTCTACCATTAAGTAGGACGTGTATTCTCTTTCATGATGGTGTCTACTGAGGCACAAAGTTTTAAATATTGATTAAGTCCAGTTTAGCAGGTTTTTTTGTCACTTGCGCTCCTGGTGTCATATCCAAAGAACCACTGCTTATGCCAAAGAAATGAACATGTATTCTTCTGGATTTTTTTTTTCTGAGTTTCATAACTTTAGCTGTGTTTAGGAGTCTTAAACATTCTGAGTTGATTTTTATGTAAGGCATATGGTAGGATCTGTATCATCATTATTACTGTTAAAACTTTAAGACATGATCATGAAAATAGGTTTCTGTTCAAAATTTTGTTCAATGCAATACTACATATACATATATATGAAACAAATAAGACTACATTCCAAAATTATAACAAAAAACACATAATAGAACATAATAGTTGTACATCATCAGAAAAATCAGTAGGAAGTAAAATTAATGGTAATATTATGAGAAAGAGTGGGCCAGCCCTGTAGCCTAGTCACTAAGGCAGCTGGATTCCACATGGCTGACTGTGGCTCAAATCCTGTCACTGGCAGCTTGAAACATATGCCAGGAATGTTGGATGCACACCTCAAATCCTGATAGGACTAAGGAAAAAAGGGGACGGTATCGGGGAGTAAACATGCTCCACTGGGGAGTGCTTTCTCAACCCACAGTCTCTCTCCAGCAAACACATGTGTTCTCTGGCAATTAAAAAAAATAAAAATAAAAAAATAAAGGGAGAGTATCTTCAATTTGAAAATCCCATGTTGAAAGGAACTTTTAACAAATACTTAGGCTTTCACAACTTTTATATCACCCCAAATTTATGAATGATTCATTTGGCAGTGAAAGTGTCTTCAAGAGTTCAGTCAGTAAAAAATACAGAGATGTTAACAAACTAATAAGGAATGCAGTTAATTGGTGGCTAAGTTCTGTCTTATTAAACTGAGTAGAGGGTTCACATAATAAGAGCATCTCCTTAAATCTTAATTATGAAAATTATTATAAAAAAGAAAGTTATGGGAACCAGCAGTTAGTGTAATGGCTATGTCACTGGACTCCCACGTAGTTGACCACGGTTCGTGTCCTGGACCCGGTGACTTAAAACTCACGCCGGGCGCATGTGCGTGCGTGCCCAAGATCCCAAGAGGAGAAAGGAGGAGAAGGGATTGCAGCATAACCATCGCCCCGTGGGGTGATTTCTCGCTTTCTGTCTCTATGTCTCTCTCTCTGCCTGTCTGGCGAGCGCATACACCCTACAGCAAAAACCTCTCCAAAAAAAAGAAAAAGAAAAAGAAAAGAAAGTTATTACATATACATTAAGAACATTTGGAGGGATCAACAGTTAGCATAATGGCTATGTCACTGAACTTCCATGTAGTCGACTGTGGTTCAAGTATCGGATCTGGTGGCTTAAACTCATGCCGGGCGCGTGTGCGTGTGCGCCGAAGATCCCGAGAGGAGAATGGAGGAGTAGGGATTGTGGCGTGGCCGTGCCCCCTGGGGGGCGATTTCTTACTTTCTGTCTCTCTGGCCAGCACACACGCCCTATAGCAAAAACCTCTCAAAAAAAAAAATTAATAAATAAATAAAAAGAACATTTGGAAAACGAAAAAGAAAAAGCTGGTCTAACCACACAACTGCAGTATCTTTCGATATATTTACATATTCATATTTTAGACCTATTTTTTCCTTTGTATAATATAAAATCTTTCCAAATATATTATTAAATGTGTTTTTTAAATTATTTGTTCATTTATTTATTTATCTTTAAGTTTTTGCTATAGGGTACGTGCACTTGCCAGAGAGATAGAGCGAGGGAAAATGAGAAATCACCCCCAGGGCAGATGGCCATGCTGCAATTCCTCCTCCTCCATTTTTCTCTTGAGATTTTGGGCATGCACACACACACACACACACACCTGGCATATTTTTCAAGTCACCGGGTCCAGAACTTGAACTGCAGAGTCAGCCATGTGGGATCCAGCTGCTTTAACGACCACACCACCTGCTGGCCCATTAAATGTGTTTTATAACCTGGAACTACATTTTGCATACCACTTATAGCATCATCCATAGCACTGTTATATCACCTATACCACTTCCTAAACATAGTCCAATAAAGCAGGCAGTGGCTATAAGAGGATACTCAAACTTGTAGATACTACAGAAAACAAAAGATATTTCCTTTCTTAACTGAAGATAAATGTCACTGATAATTAATGTTTCAAGTTCACTGCACCAACTACATCACAGGTAGAGTTCCTTCCAAAACAAAAAACGCCTTTTGAAGAATAGTAGTTAAAGTGCCAAAAAATTTCAGAAAACCTATCTAAAAGCATCACTTGTATTTAGGAATTTCCTCATACACACACACACACACACACACACACACACACACACACACACAAGCACACATTCTGAAATGTACCTTCACATTAGCTTCTTTCAAACTGATGACCTTATCTAAATCTGGTTTGGCTGCATTGGCATTGCCAATAAGTAGGTAGAAGGTGGCTCGTAGTAATAATGCTTCTGCCATGTATTTGCCTTGAGCATCTATTTCTTTTGAGCATTCGCTTATGATTTTATCATAGTTTTCTTCTTCCATATACTGTTTGGCCTTTAAATATCCAGAACTGAAAATAAAAACAAACATAATAAATTATTTACTAAGAAAGGATTGAATGCAAAAACTTGCCCCACTTAGCACACCTGAGTTAAACAAGTGTCCATTTCCCTTTACCAATTTAATCATGAGGCCCTCCATATCTGTAGCACATTGATGGCACTCAACAGTTGTTCAATGACTACTAGACGGAATGGAGAAAGAGGAAAATAATCAAATGAGTTTAGAGTCAGAGAAGCCAGCGTAAGAAGTATGATCAGAGCTGTGCTTTGTGAAGATCACTCTCACTGTTTTGTGGAAAATGGACTGGACCATGTAACAGAACAAGATTCAAGACAGGAAATAGCTGAAGGGCTCTCTCATGGAGGATTACAGCTCACATTGTGAAGAGACCTAAAATTAATAAGTAGACTTATCAAAGAAATAAATTCAAAAGAAGACTCATCTAATAGGACTTTTATTTTTCTAAGATAATGACTTTTATTGGGGATGCTTACTGAAGGAAATTTCAACTACAGGACTTTTGCAGCAACTTCTAACTATAAGGCATTGTAAATTAAACACATTTTTCTTAGGCCAGCTGGTGGCATGAGGGTAAAGTACATTTTTCACTTCAGCTGTTAATTTCTACACAAAGAAAACTGGCAAATGACTTAAAAGAAGTAATGCCAATCAAAATCTTATAAACTCTGCACTCATCTTTCCTATAATTAAATGTTTATGTTCCCTGCACTTTAGGTTTGTTCCTTGAGCATCAGGCTAAGAGAATACAATCATTGAGTCAGGAAAGTCATGACACATTTTTGCATAGATGAATATAGAAAAATACATCATGACTTTCCTAGTGACCTAATATTATATGAGATTGGAAATAACTTATTTATAGAGAACATTAGTATTAGGTATTTATAAACGTACCTCTAAACCTCACAATAAACCTATAATTTAAGTATTATTATCTCCACAAAGTGATATGATGCAAGGCTCTATGAGGATGATCCACGTGGAAGATTTATGTACACAGACCTTCCTGAACATGCTGGGGACAGGTGCGCCCATGGTCCACGGTTGGCTAAAGCTAGGGGTAGATAGTGGCAATGAACACAATGTTCAAGTTGCTAGTTGGTCTGTCTTTCTGTCTCTCTCTCTCCCTGGCTCATGGAAGAAATAAATTTATTTATTTTTTTGGAGAAGTTTTTGCTATAGGGTACATGTACTCGCCAGCCAGACAGAGAAAGACAGAGAAAGAGAAAGCGAGAAATCACCCCCCAGGGGGGATGGCCACACCGCAATCCCTTCTCCTCCATTCTCCTCTCAGGATCTTGGGCACGCATGCACATGCGCCCAGTGTGAGTTAAGTCACCGGGTCCAGGACGGGAACCGCGGTCGACTACATGGGAGTCCAGAGACATAGCCATTACACTAACTGCTGGTCCCAAGAAATAAATTTTAAAAAAGAAAAGAAAAAAATGATAACACTATGACTCAGAGTAAATGAAATTTACAAGTTCAAGTGTAATTCCAGTTAGTTTTCTCATGAGAGCTAGCTATATCCTGCCATCTCTAAATATAACTACAATGGATATTAACTTCATTGTAGTTTTTATGGAACAAGGATTGTTTCCTAACCAAAAGAGGAAATTATCTGTATCACTGTCACAGAGTGTAGGGCAACATTTACTTCCTAATCATGGTTTTCTGAAAGACTGTGCATCAACTAATTAAAGTGTGTACATCTTGGTGTAACTATACATAGTACCCTCCCTTAATTGGTTGCCAACAATGGAAGAAAAATTGAGAGATAAAGATCAAAAGAAGTCTGTTTCCTCAAACTCTCCAATATTCTATAGGTGCAAAACCCAATTACACTTTGCTACTAGAACAATACTACCTTTTCTTCCAAACTTAGTAAAAAATATCATCTCGGAAATAATATTGCGCCTTCTCTCAGAGATAAGAGCTGGTCTTAACAGGAAAACATAAATATTAAAGCCCAGCCTGGTGGCACAGTCAGAAGCAAACTGAACTGCAAAGTTGAAAGCCATATGGTCAATCCCCGGTCAGCCTGAAAACTTAGGCAAGAAGTATGATCAGAGCTGTGCTTTGTGAAGATCACTCTCACTGTTTTGTGAGAGCTGGAGGGCTGGCTGGGGGAAAGAGATCACAAATTATAGTACTCTGTTGAGGGTGCTTCTCTCTCTCTTTTGTGCATGCTCACTCCTCTCTCTCGCATGTGCATGTACATAAATTTAAGAAAAAAATAAGACACCCAAAGAAAAGCATATTCCTAGGGCAGCAGAAAACAAACAAACAAACAAACAAACAAAAAAACCCACTAAGAAATTTACTCTTTGGGCATTCTTAAACATCTCAGTTTATCACTTTAAAACTTCCTGCATTGGGCCAACTGTTGGCACTGTGGTTAAGGTTGCTGGATTCCACATGGCTGACTGTGTGGTCAAGTCCTGGACTGGCAGCTTAAAAAACATATTAGGCACGTGTATGTGCATGCCCCAAATCCCCAGAGGATCACAGAAAAGAGACTGCAGCTAGGTCCTCACTCCTGGGTGTGCTTTCTCATTTTCCCTCTCTTTGTAGATCATATATGCCCTATAGCAAATTAAAAAAAGAAATTTCCTGTGGGAACCAGCAGATAGTCTAAGGGTTACTTTGCTGAACTCCAACATAGCTGACCGTGGTTCAAGTCCCAGACATGGTGGCTTAAGCCTCTCGTAGATGTGCCCAGGATCCCAAGGCGAGAATATAGGAAAAGGGATTGCAGCGTGGCCATCTCCTGTGGGGGGTGATTTCTCACTTCCTTTCTCTAGGTCGGTCTCTCTCTCTCTCTCTCTCTCTCTCTCTCTCTGGAGAGTGCATGCACCCTATAGCAAAAGTACTTAAAAAAAAAAAAATTCCTGCATTAAAATGTCCAGATATTGGGAACCAGCAGTTAGCGTAATGGCTATGTCACTGGACTCCCACGTAGTCAACCGCGGTTCGCGTCCCAGACCCGGTGGCTTAAAACTCACGCCGGGCGCATGTGCGTGCACGCCCAAGATCCTGAGAGGAGAATGGAGGAGAAGGGATTGCAGTGTGACCATCCCCTCTGGGGGGTGATTTCTTGCTTTCTGTCTCTATGTCTCTCTCTCTCTCTGTCTGGCGAGCACACACGCCCTATAGTGAAAACCTCTCCAAAAATAAAAAAAAGTCCAGATATTGAAATACATAGTGATTTTCAAGTTAGTGCCTCTATTCAAAAAGAGTCAACCACTTGACTCAATGGGAGTCTTCTTGAGAATATCATTTAGGACACCAAAAGCAAAGTAAACTGGCAATAAAGCCTTTAGTCACCAGAGAAGTAACAGACATCTGCTCGAAAAATAACTTTTTATTGTAACAATGTTATGTTATTTTATTTATATCTATATATGTGGGAAGATTTTTTTTTTTAAAGAGATTTTTGCTAAACAGCACATGCGCTTGCCAGAGAGACAGACAGAGAGACAGAAAGTGAGAAATCACCCCCTGAGGGATGGCCACACTACAATCTCTTCTCCTCCATTCTCCTCTAGGGATTTTGGGCATCCAGGCACATGTGCCCAGCGTGAGTTTGAAGGCATGTTGGGTCCAGATCTCAAACCACCGTTGACTATGTGGGAGTCCAGCGACATAACCATTACGCCATCTGCTGGTCCCAATGTGTAGGTATTTTTTTATGTGTGTGGTGACTCAGAACCCAGTAGGGTACTAAGGAAAATTCATGGTAGCAGAAACACCATTAAGCAGAGATCATGCTTATTAAAGTACTCACTTTTCTTTCACTTCTAAAGCTTCCCCTTCTTTGTCTTTATCTTCATCAGACTTCTCTCCTTTAAGCATGGGCTGAGAAATTATATCATCCGTGAAAGAACTGAAGTAAGATTTGATAAATTGTGGAGATGGCATCAAAGGCTCACGATTCTGAAATTTAATCATGTTGAAATGTATCAGAATGAGAAAATACAAACCATAGAAGCACATATATTTTAGAACACTAAGATCAACTGCTTTAAAAATTGGAACCTCATCTTCAAAGTAACTACAGAACATTAAGCTCCAAGATGTAGGACAAGAGACAGTAAAAATGGAGAAGCTAGTCCCAGCTGTTCAAGGCAGGTTTTAAGTGAGAGCCATTCCACTCTACAAAGATCTAAGACCACTGGGCCTGCACATGGCATGATGGTTAGGTGAGGCTGAATCCTGTATGGTCGACTGCACAGGTAAGTCTTGGATCCAGGGGCCTGAAAAACATGCAATCTCATGTGCTTACGTGCCTAAAATCGCAAAGAAAAGAGAAATGGAGGAACCAGCAGTTAGCGTAATGGCTGTGTCACTGGACTCCCATGTAATCGACCACAGTTCAAGTACTGGACCCGGCGGCTTAAACTCACGCCAGGCGCGTGTGCATGCATGCCCAAGATCCCGAGAGGAGAATGGAGAAGGGATTACGGCGTGGCCATCCCCCCCGGGGGGGATTTCTCGTTCTGTCTCTCTGTATCTCTCTTTCTGGCGAGTGTATGCACCTTGTAGCAAAAACCTCCTCCCCCCCCCAAACAAAAAAAGAAATGGAGTGGAGAAAAAGGGATTGGAGCACAACCATTTCCCATGGGGCAGCTTTTCTCTCTCTCTCTCCCTACTCCTGGCAAGTACATGTCTCCTCTGGTAAAATAAAATAAAAATAAAAAATATGTAAGACAATTATTTATGTATTTATCGTTTGGAGAAAGATATCTTTGCTATAGGACTTATATGCTCTCTAGACAGAGACAGAAAGCAAGAAAGCACCCCCCAGGGAGGATGGCCATGTCACAATCCCTTCTCCTCCATCATCCGCTTGGTATTTTGGGCACACATGCCTATATACCCAATGTGAGTTTCAAGCCACCCAGTCCAGGACTCAAATCATGGTCAGCCACGTGGGAGTCCGGCAACATAATCACCATACCATCTGCGTGTCCCAAGACTATTAGTTTTATAGGTTCTGAAAATGCTGAGTCTATTTATCATGGGCTTTCTTCTGAAGCTCTCCATTGGAAGTCATAATGAAAGCATATTTCCTATTTTAATTATTTCTTTTTGGTACGGTAACCAGATTCATAGTTACAGGAGTTTGCCGTTTCTCCTTATGAAGCACAAATATGATGATAAAGTTTTAAACAAAGAAGGAATAATATAGCCAAAGGGTGCTTACATATTTGAGATCCTTTATCTACAAAATTCAACCTGAACAGTTTAGAATAAATATGGTATTTTGATTTTATGTATAACTAATATAGTACTTATTATTTTTTTCAATTATGAGAAAGAGACGGAAAGGGAATACAACAGATAGACCTACAGGTACACGGAACCACACATGCATGTGCAGGCTGGACTGGGAACTGAACCTGAGCCTCTCACGCACTTCCAGTCTCCAAAGTAATGGTGCTATCTGTTCGCCACTAGAATAGAATCTACATTTGGTAGATTCAATGTCTTCATATTTCAAGTAGGAAAAAAAAAAATCTGACTTTATAAATAAATGACATACTCTGAGGCCTGCAAATGGCTTGGTGGTTGAGACGCTGGATTCCCACATGGTAGACCATGGTTCGAGTCCTCAACCTGGTGACTTGCTTTCTCTCTCTCTCTCTCTGGTCAAAACTGAAGAATAATGATAATATATAT